TTTATTGAAATTGACTATGTAGGTGTTGAGATATCTTTACCTGAAATTTATTTTTTTTTATTTTTCTGAGGGGTACGAATACCAAATTTGGGGGTATGATTACTAGCTCCTAAATTAATAAGAGGTGCATACATTGTTTATTATAACTATTGTTATACTTGCCAGTTAAATTAGCATAATTCTCTTTATTTAAATATTCAAGAGGTGTTAATGGCTTATTTATCCATTTATAATTTCTGTTTTAAAAAACTAAATATACAAGCCATGTTAAGCCAACAAAAGATTCAGCATTAAATATAAATAAAAAGAAAGTCTCAATAATAAAACATGTTTTTTGGTTAAATATAATAATTTATAGGGTTAACGGCTTTGCTAAAAATCAATTTTCATTAAATTTTTTAGCAGGAGAACTAGAATTTGTTAAGAGCTTCAGTAATAATAGATTTTTTTTAGTAGGTTTTTTTTTTTTTTTTTTAGCAGGAGTACTAGGGTTTTGTCAAGCTAAGTTTGGGGTTTTGACTTTCGTCAGAAGGATTTGAGAGTTTCAATTTTTGTTAGAAGAATTTGAGGTTTTAACTTTCGGCAAAGGTTTTGTTATTTAAGACTCAGGTTTAAACTTTTGTTATCAAGCAAAAATAGTTTCATCTAACAACTATATCCTAGAATTTATGAAAACAACTGCAATTGCTTCAATAAAATCGTCACCAGCCTAAATTAATTTGCCGCATAGTCCAACAATAAAGTATAATTCGATGCTTTTCGAAATTTTTATTTGCAACCTCATATTATAACGAAATATAATCTGAATTAAATAGAATATTTTAATCAATCAGCTTCTATCAACAGAACTTCCAATCATACATACACACACAAAGGTTTAGCATATACATATGTATGTACATGTGTCAAAAACAAGATCATCCTTTAACAGCATACAATATGATATTTGATATGTGAAGGATAAACAACATGTTACATTTAAGATCACACGGACCAATCAGATCTAAGATTTTGAGGAGCAACATCATTTCGATCGTTGTATAACCATATACTACGTGATATTCATCACTCTGTTTCTAGTATAGCTATTAACTGTAATACAGGCCTATTTTTTAAAATTATCATCTATAGATTTGAACTCTAAATCTGCTACTTGAAGAGTGATAACTAGACTACTTGAAAAGGGTGGTGACTAGATTACGCACTAAGTTGCCACACCTCTTCTTGTTTTTATATTTTTAAAATTATAAAAATCTTTTTATATAGCTAGTAAATTTTTTATAATATTATAAATTGAAAATTAAAAATTGCAACTAATTGCAACTAATTAAAAAGTTAACAACTTATTAATTGAAAAATTTTTAACAACTTATATTAAAATCAAATAAAAATCAAATAAAAATTGAATAAAAATTGAATAATTGAAAATTGACAACTAATTAATTGCTACTTTTAATAGTAGTTAGTATATTCTAGCTCTAATTTGATATTTTTTTTTAAATTTTGAGCTTTTTTAGAATTATATACAATATTTTTTGGCTATTATTGTTATCTTTAAATTTTTTAGCTTCTTTATTTAATTTTCTTTTTGTTGTTTTTGTAATTTTTTTTTATTTTGCTTTTTATATATTTAATTTTATATTTTTTTCTTGTACTATATTTTTAGATTTATAGTTTTTTTTTTTGCCTTTTCTTGTACTTAATAGGGCTCTTTTTATTCTTTTACAATCTTTTTTTTGTCTTGAGTTCTTTTTGTACTATTTTAATCTTTATTTTTTTAGTACAAATATATAATAACATATTTGTATTTTTTGAAAAATTATTGGGAATACATTTAGGATAAATCTAGAAAGTGCCCCATATCCTTTGTGCCTCTAGAAAATTTAACCTATAATATTAGATTAAAATTATACAAAATTGTATAAAATTGTAAGAGGACCATTTTTGCTTAGTTATACAACAGGGTTACCCTAGTAAAATTTTGAGATATTAGCGATTTTATGATTTTAAGTTAGGTTAGGTTAGGGTTATGTTAGAGTTAGGTTAGGGTTAGAATTTAGGTTTAAAGTAGCAAGAGGAACATTTTTGCTTAGTCGCAAAACAGGGATTACCCTAGTAAAATTTTGAGATATTAGCGATTTTATGATAGGGGGCACAAAGTGCATGGGCACTGTCTAGTCCTGTCCATACATTTATTAAAAAAACTCTATATAATCACATTACTATTGAAATTTTATAGTCACTCTTTTTTACGTAAAACAAATACGTAATTATAGAGAAGGATAACTGTAATTATTTTAAACAAGCTTTTTTTATTAATAACTTTAGATTATTTTTTTATAAAATCTAATCTTGAGTATTACCGTAAAGTAGTAGATCCATCTCCCTATGAGTTGTACCCGGGGGTATTTTGCGGATAAGAATTATATTTATATCCGGATGCTATTCATATTATATATCAAATAATAGCATCTTTACGCTTTGAAGAATATCTAGCTGGTGTAAAACATTGACGACTGGCAAAGTTGAACGAGAAATATACAGCGGGTATATCTCTAGTCTTTGTAATTATCCGGATACATCGGTTGACACTTTACGGTACTATTTTGTTTTTAACTTTTTTATTTCAGACATTGATTTATATTATGCCACAGGTCTTATGAATATCATTAATTGCTTATATTGTATAAACTAAAATATAATAATTTAAGGGAATTGCTGTTCGTACCCCAAATTTGCTATCCATACCCCATGCAAATTAAAGTTTTTTTCAACTTTGGGCGAAGATATCTCGACAGCCATCAAGTCAAATTTGTTAAACTTTTTTTATTTGAATTCTATGCATTAGTAGAATTCAAATAAAAAAAATGTTCATTGAAATTTGCCTAGTGGTTGCCGAGATATCTTCGCTTAAAGTCTTAAAAACTCAAAACTTTTTTATTCTTTAAGCTAAGATACCTCGACACTCACCAAGCCAAATTCAATGAACTTTTTTTTATCCGAATTCCAAGAATCTGTAGAATTCAAATAAAAAAAAGTTAATTGAATTTGGCCAGTGATTGTCAAGATATCTTCGTTCAAATTTTTAAAAAACTCAACGCTTATATAAGTAAATGCTGTACCAAAATTTTCCCAATGTTTGATCGAAGGTATCTTAACAACTACTGGGTCAAATTCGATGAACGTTTTTTTATTTAAATCCTGCAGATTCGTAGAATTCATATAAAAAAAAAAGCTCGTCAATTTGGTTTACTGAGTTATTTTCGCTCAAAAATAAAAAATTTTGGCGCAGCTTCTATTTATAGTCGTTGAGTTTTTTAAAAATTCGAACAAAGACATCTTGACAATCACCAAGCCAAATTCAATAAACTTTTTTATTTTGAATTCTACAGATTCTTAGAATTGAGATAAAAGAAACTTCATTGAATTTGGCTTGGTGAGTGGCAAAATATCTTCGCTCAAAGAATAAAAAATTTTGGTTTGATAGACGTTGAGTTTTTTAAGACTTTGAGCGAAGATATCTCGGCAACCACCAGTTAAATTTCAATGAATTTTTAAATAAAAAAGTTTATGGGGTACGAATATCAATCCCTAATTTAATTAACAAATATTTATTATAGTATGTGATATTTGGAGGCTACATATTTTTGCAAAGCGCAATAATAAACCTTGAAGAAATTTAATACGAAAATAATAACATTTTTGTATAATAAGGGAATTACGACGTCCATTAGCAGATTTGCTTTTAAATACATTACGAGATAAGATGGATGTTCTTGCAGCTCAATCGGTTTAAAAAATTTATAGTATAGAGCGATTTGAAGAATAATTGATAATGATTTATTTTAATTTCACTTACAAAAATTCGATCTTGACGTACAGTAGTTATACGTAATGTATAAAACATTATTCAACTACACAATATGTAAATAAACTACAAAAGTTACCAAAGTTTACTATACTCGTCTAACAGGATATACTATAGGTATATTCATCAATTTAGTTCGTTTGAGTCGTTAGAATCCTTATGCATGAGTATAAGAATATAATATTATACTACACTACTATTTTTTATTCCCCTACTATATTTTCTTTATATATTACTCGAACAATCAGTAGGTTCGCAAGTCTTGATAATACAATTACGTAGTACAGTATTTTTCGATTATCGATAGTAATTTTTTTGTTTATTTAATATTTTATAAACAATTATTTTTAATTACGATTCTCTTTACACAAAGAACAATTAAAATTTATTTGTGCATGGCGCTCGTTAAAATTTATTGAATGACTGGCACATGTAGTTATTTGTTTATTTCATGCATTTGTAGCTTGATCAACGTTCTAGAATTTATTCTAGTTGCAAATTGAGATGCATCTTCTAAAATATTATTATGAGTATCATTGTCACAACAATGATCTCAGTGTTAATCTAAAAATTTACTTAATTAATACAACATTAATATAAATACGAAATATCCAATATAAAATTTCAAGCCAATTATTATCAGTCATAGCAAAAAAAAATCATGTTACTTTTATTTAGTAGTTTTCACAGTATAATGTAAAACATGTACTCTAACATAGTTAATAAAACAGAGAGTATTTGCTGTAAATGCTTTAAAATTAGAATGTAATTTAAATATAAGAGCATATAAATTCACAGGATAATAATATAATGTTGTTTTTTTAGTCTTATTTAAAAAACTATTTTAGGTGTTAATTCGACGACATAATTCACAACTTCTGATAGACTATACAACTATTTTAATTATTACATATCACATAGAAAGAAAAAAAAAATTGTATTAGTCTTTATTTCTTTATACAATGTCATCTTTCCCACATAAAGAATATACGTGAATGTTTAAATTGGTTTTAAAAATTATTTCAATTTAAAATATAAACTCTACTAAAATCCACCAAATGTCGAAACAATTATTTATTAAGAGAATTAATTTAGACACCCATTTATAATTAAGAAAGTTAGCTACGTAATACTATTTTAAAGTTGTGGCGGTAATGGGTGTAGTGGGTTGTGAATCTTTTTTGATAAAATTTATTAATGGATCATCAAAAATGAATTTATCATAAAATTGTATTCTTTTTTCTAAATTATCAAGTCGTTTTTGTATTGAAGTATCAAAATCTTCAGTGGTATCGGGCTCATAAACAAATGGTAAAACGTCTCTTTTGTAATGATCTTTGAATATTTTCGTTTGTATAAAACCCCATGGTGAGATTAAACCAGGTCCTAACAAATTTTCAAAGGAAAAATAAATAAATAATGAAATAGAAATAGGTGAATATATTATTCAAATGCAATTTTAATTTAAAATAGTCAACTTACCAAATAAAAATATATAAAAAGCTGCAACAACACTCCAAATACCACCAATATTACCTAGTACGGTCAAAACCTATTTATTCAAAATAATGAAGATTACTGAGAATAAATTTTTTTACTTAAAAATATATCATACGTGCTACTTACAGTTTTGCTCCTATTATTACCATTATGTGTGAAATTATTAATAAGTGATACAATAATTTATAATAAATATATATTTGATCAAATTATTAAAATTGTTTTTTTACCTTTGTTCTTTTTCTTCAGTCACAATAAATGGAGTAGACGCGTTAAATTGTAATACTGCAAAGTAAGTATTGTTTGTTTCTGTAATAATTATTTAATAATAATAATTTAAAAAATTAAAAAAGCAAGTACAGTAATAAACCATGACTCGTTAATGAGAATATTCTTACGAAGACCCGAACTCGCAGTCGAAACAGTCGCTATGGTTGTTAGTCAGTAATAATATAGTATTTCAGAAGATTGTAATAAATTTGATAATAGTATATAAAAGGATTTTAATTCTTACACATATGTGAATCAAGATAAGGTATATCAGTATATTTTTGTCTACCAAAGTAACTTAAGACATCTGTAACCAATGCGTGCCTAATGCACCTATCAAATACCCAATCATAACGCTAAAAATTTTTTTTACAAAAAAATGTGTAAATTTGCAAATTCATCACTCTACAGAATATTACTATTCAGAATGATTAAATATATATATACATACAGCTATGTCATTTCTAGGTTGCCCAAAAAAATACGTGTTCTTCAGAGAAAGTGTTTCTTCGAATTGAATTTCTTGTCCACTTGGTGGTATTACATTTAAATCATATCCTAAATCATTTAAATTATATTTATTTATTTTCTAATTATTCTTTTTTGTTAAACCTATAAAATAATTAAGGCATTATTAATTTTATAAAAAAAGCCTTACGTCTATCATATGCAGTCATCTCCATGTAATCGGTTTGATTGGTAATGTTATAACTAGGATCTATGATCTTTATTGAAAGGGCATATCCAATACGAGTAGTTATATCGTTGCTTGATGAAAATCCAGCATAATATTTTTTCGAGGTAGTATTAAATGCAGTATTGCTAATATAGTTGTTACAATTATAATTCCCTATAATAAATAATTCGAGTCATATATGAATGATGTAAAATTAAATAACGTAGTAAATAATAATGTATTTACCTGTGTTATTGTAAAAAGCACAATCAATAGTAAAATTATAGGCATAATAAAAATATATGGCTGCATTGATTTTTATTTAACATAATCGTTAGTTATAAATCATTAATATTTTCGTTATTTTTAAATATATATTTTTTTTAAAAAAATTGATTCTTACATGGTGTAGGCAGACTTTTAGCTGTACTGTAGGATATATCAACGCTAGGCAATTCGTTACGAAGTCCAAGGCATAATATTACAAATACTGCAATTGATAATCCTACGGATATAAAGATAACAACATATCGAATAATTTTAACTGTCTTTGGTTCGCTGTGTCCTAATCGGAATAAGTCAGTAATCATTTTTAACTTAATTACAAAACCAAAAAAAAATAATAATTCGTATTATTATTATTCTCCTTTAATTTTGCAGTCATTCAATCTCAGATAAATGCCTTATATATGTGTGATAATTCGGTGTACGGGATCACAGCAATGTTTGTTTTGATGTACGTACGTACGACGTTCACAAAATCTTATGTATCGTTACCCTTCATTATAATAATATCCTTATTTATTTTGAACGGCTTGGTTAGTGACACACTTATGAAAGATAATTGATCGACTAAAGATTGTACTTTGGGCAGAAAATGGTATTATATATATGATTATAATAGATTACCCGATTGACCGAGTAGTTGCACAATTTCTATGATCGACTCTTCATAGCCATTATAATACTTCAACAAATGTTACCTGTCTAACTACAATTCATCCATGCAATAAATTTACTAATTGATTAATATTTCTAATACAGTAATAACATTGATGTTTTTTTTATATTCATTTTTCATAAAAAATTAACTCTGCATACTTATTAGTTTGTTGAAAATAACACATTTATCTGGGCGAAATAAGAGAATTACAATAATAAAACTAGCTTTTGCCGTATACAATGAGATTAAGGGGTTCTGATTGTCTAGAATAGTAAAGAGTTTAACTATTTAATTATCATGTTTTTGGAAAATAATATTCGTGTCTATTTGTAATACAAAGGCAAAATGAGAAAACAACAATAAAAGGATAGTTGTCATTAGAGAACTTTATCTCAATGATAAATTGCTCATCTTTACTAAATGCGAGCAAGGAGTTTTTGCCTAATTGAATAATGACAATTTTATTTTTCCATATTAAAAGATTTGATGTTTCGTTAATTGTATTTAATAGCTCTTTTCAATAAGGATCAATGATAGGTATAAAGATGGTAATGTTTATGCTACGAACGGATTACATAACAATTAATTTAAATTAAAGTTCCAATCCATTAGGATATCCAGATATCCGGATAACTATCCGTATACCTGCCGGATTATCCAGATAACTGAGCGATCTGAATTATCCGGATAATTAGATACGGATGACGGATTTATCCGGATTGGAACTCTATAATTTTGATTTTCACATAACTACCCAATAGTTTCAGTGGCCAAAAATCGTTGCTTCTTTCTATTTAAAAAAGTAACGTTGACATTAGGAGACGTCATTAAGAAGGTCTAATATGCGCCAAATTTATTGCATGAATTTGGTAGACGATTTTTTAAGCAATATTTGCTATTTTAAAATTTGAAACGGATAATAAAAATCCTATGATTATCTTATATAAACTAGCCATTATATCATGTGAAATCTGCACGATTTCCCCTTTGATTCCCTTTAATTTCCCTTATTCACAGAATCAGTGAAATCGGAAATCGTGCGATTTCCTACAATATTTCTGGTCACACTTTTTTGAAAACAGCTATAATAAGTTCATCGTTATTTAATGTCACAGATGATCGTGAAATTACACCCTATTTAATGTACGATTTGTGCGATTTTTAATTTTTTTTAGGCTTCTTTCTTTTATATTTGGACTAGGTTTTAGAGTTAGTGTTTATAATAAAAAAAAGTATGGGTGAGTTTTGTTAGGACTTATATTTTTAAATTAAGACCTCCAAATTTCACGATCATCCGATTTCACGATCCGCGACATTTAGTGTTTGGATCCGTGGATATCCGGCTATTTTTTTTTTTTTAGTTCAATCCGCTGGATTTTTACAGCCGGACATAAACTATCGATAAAAATCTGTTTAATCCAATGAATCTATTGTAGTTTTTTTTTTTTTTTTTTTGAAATAAATGTCTACAAAAAAAATATATGTAAGTCATCCTCGTAATGGTGAACTCTCAATACATGAATAATAGTTATTATGAAGTTAGACGAAATCTCGAGGTTTCGCGCTGACGAAACGCGAAACCTAGTTTCGTCTTTCGTCAATTAAAAGCTTAAGTGACGAAATGACGAAACTGACGAAACTGTAAAGGGTGATAAAACTAATAAAGATGAATATACAAATAAATGTTGAAAATCATTGATTATGTGTATAAAAATATCTAAAAATTACAAAAAATTTATTGAATAATAAGCGCTTGAATTGTTTGAAATGAGCATTCTATATTGTATTATACTAGTACACTACATAGGACTTTCAAATATATTTAGTGTACAGTTGTCATAGACAGAAGTTCGTAATAAATTCAATTTAATTTTACAGTTTAAAGTACTTTTAAGAAAAAATAAAACTACGAAGAATAAACAAAAAAGAAACATATAAAAAGTTTTATTAGGGTTGTAGGATTCCACCATTAAAAATAAACTTAATCAATTCTGGTTTTAGCATGGCAATAACCTATCTTTAAGAAGTCGCTATTATGTTAACTTTTCTAAAACCAGGATTGATTAAGTTTATTTTCCTAATAAACTTTTTATATGTTTCTTTTTTGTTTATTCTTCGTAGTTTTATTTTTTCTTAAAAGTACTTTAAACTGTATAAATTATGTAAAATTGAATTGAATTTATTAGCCAATCAGACGAACTTCTGTCTATGAGTACAGTTGGTTATCTGTGTGCCGTCTTACAGGAGCGACCGTCGATGTTACACGACTGGTTTTTCACGCGGTGTGAAACACATAAAAAAATTATTTTACAATACTTGATCGGACTTGATCAGTCAGTTAGTACATGTTATGATTATAATCCCACACCATTTTTTTATAATAAAAAATGGTGTGGGATTATAATCATAACATGTACTAACTGACTGATCAAGTCCGATCAAGTATTGTAAAATAATTTTTTTATGTGTTTCACACCGCGTGAAAAACCAGTCGTGTAACATCGACGGTCGCTCCTGTAGTGCCGTCTATGGTAAATCTATTATCGGACATAGATTTACCATAGACTGTATACAGATAACCAACTGTACACAAAATATACTGTTTTCCTTTGTCGGCACTCATATCAGCTCTGGTGAGAAATCGCTTGGTATTACTTTGTGATCTTTCAAATTTATTTTGCGCCTGTATGCTTTAATTCCTTATTTGTGTTATTCCATGAGTGCTATAGCTTTTTTGACAAGGTTATTTCAACCGACCTATATCAACCCTAGTGTATCCGGAAAAAATGAAATGCTGGCATACATGCAATTTCAGATACTGATCACTGAATAAATTATAGATGTTAATTCAACGAAAATAACATTATTTTTATTTTTATTTATTTATTTATTTTTTTTTGCGGAGCACTAGTGTTTCGTCTTTCGTCAGAAGAATTTGGGTTTCGACTTTCATCAGATGTTTCATCTTTCGTCATGATGCAAAAAAGGTTTCGTCTAACAACTATACTCAAAATCAATTTATATAAATTTTCTAAATAGTGAATTTACTAATAAAATTCTCAATAAAGTGGATTTTTAAAAATTTTACAAATAGAATCGATCATTTCATTATAACGAGAGTGACTTATATAACTTATATATATTTTTTGACGAAATATTAAAATATTTATACAAAGAACTCTTTGTTTAATAAATTATTAATTCAAGTAATTTCGATTACATAAGTTTAATTTTCCTACACTAAAATCTCGTTATTTGTTTCTTCTGTTTTCGTTGTCACAATTTATTCGTACACAAGAGCTTTACAGGATAACAATATGAAGTAGAAATTAATCATTCGCCCGAAAAAAAACCTTTTGTTATTTCTTAATAATTAACATTACGTCACTGTTTTTATCAAAACGCTTTATTACTGTTAGGGATGGCAAATGTTTAAAACACGATCTTAAAATCATGTCTTTTAATTTTGATTGCGTAATTTAAATTATAGTATATATTCATTCTGATTACAAATTCAAGAGAAAATAGAATAAAAAGTTTTTAAAAGCAATATCTCATGTTCGTGGAAGACCCATTTAAAGGAAATCCGTTTAAACTTTCCAAAAATCAATGAAGCTGATAAACATGGTCGAAAAACACCTCGTCAAAAATGTATTACTGCGAAGAAGACTGTTGATTCAATTAACCGATTAATATTAAAATGTAATAAACTTCCAAAAAATGTAAGGATTTGTTGAAAGCTTATAATCAGGATTCAGGTTCGAGCGAAGATATGCAATTAGATAAATTCGATGTGAATAGTATATTGGCAAGGTTTTTCTATGCAGCTAGTATTCCTTTTACGGCGTTACCTTCAAAAAATTTTCTGCACCTCAATATTTGCATATTCTTAATTCTTCCTTATTTATTTATTATTATTATATAGTATAGTTTTCCTTAGTTGTCTTTTCGTACTATGTATTATAATTACCCTTCCTCCCGCGTTAATTAATTATTTAGCCCACATTATTGTTCGGATAAATCTTTAAGCGCATGATTGACAGATTATGCTATTCCTATTTTAGTCAATGATAGTTTGTGATTACTTCCAATTATAGTAAGTTTGATTGTCAGGCAAAAATAAAGGTCTTGATTATGGAATGTTTAAAGTTTTATCAATAACTTCAATAATATCATGTATTAGTTATTTCTCCTCAAATCTTTAAAAGAAATTTATTCCGTTAATTTACGAAATTGAACCTGAACCTGAACAAAAAATAGTTCAAGTTCGATATTGAACTTTCAATATGTGTCTAAACCTCCCCAAAGTCCGAAACGTTTCAGTATCTCCAAAATCCGAAACCTCCGAAATGGCCGAAACTTTCGAAATACTGAAACCCTCTAAATTCGAAACTTCCAAAAGCTCGATCTCTATTCTTTCGGAACGTTTGGAATTTTTACTCTCCTCCTCGCTCGTATTTTACGTTCATTGATTTTCTACTCGGAAGTTTCACCCAATTTCGGAGGTTTCGGTCAGTTTCGGTCAACTTCGCCCAATATCGGAACTTTCGCTTAGTTTCGGAGGTGTCGTCCAGTTTTGTCTAGTTTCGGATGTAACTTTATGCTCATTTATACATGTGCTTCTCACGTGATCTGAAATGTTCTTATTTTATTTCGAAAGTTTCGCCAGTTTTGGAAGCTTCGCCAGTTTCGGAGGTTTCGTCCAGTTTCGGAAGTTTCGGAAGTTTCGCGGGCTGAAGGTTTCGGTTTAGGCCAAAACACTCACTGGTTAAAAAACACATATTTTAACTAAATAATAACCAGTTATTTCTAGTACAAATAACAACTTTTTTACTATATAATTACTAGATATTTTTGTTGTTTAATATATTTTTAGCCAATATGCTTAAATGCATATATTGCTTAGTAATTATATAGTAAATAACTTATTATTTGTACTAGAAATAACTAGTAATTATTTAGTTAAAATATGATTTTTTAACCAGTGACTGGTTCAGTTCAGGTTCAAGTTCATTTCGAAAGTTCATAAACTTGTTTAGGGGACAATTCATAGTATTGCCTCCAAAAAAATGATAGTTGAAATTTTTCTAACTTACATAGGTATAGTTTTAAAATGATCTTTATAATGCTTAATACCGTCACTTAAATTTTCGTTTTGACTTCACTTATCTAAGTTGAAAAGTTGACACGAGTAATACAATTAATATTCGTGAGTCATTTATTCTAAACATTTAGGTTAATAGGACGGACCAAAAGACTATCGGCCCTAATAGAATAACGAACACACATAGCTTAATTTTTAGTGATTTTGTTGGGTCAGATAGCGAGCACTATTATAATATATAGTACAAGTGTAAGTAGGGCACCATACAACTTTGAGTTCAGACAAGACTAAAATTTATAATCAATATTTTGTATATAAATTTCAGAACATCAAGGTATAATAACCATAAATTCACAAATAAGGATTAATAATAGATACATATTATTTTAAATATTTTGATTAATAAATAATATTGTCTGGAATAAAAGATTGTTTATCGACCAAATTCAGTTCGAACAATAACTAATAAGAAGTGCATACATTGTTTTCGAATGCTTTGATTAACAAATTATTTTATACTATCCGGTTAAATTAACCTAAATAATTGACTTAATGAAGAATGGCAGATAATGTGCTAAGTAGTATTTCCCAGATGCTAATTTTGCTATAATATAATGTAGTCAGTTATTGTTATTGCTTAATGCCGGCCTAATTCCAATGCATTCCAACCCTAAACATTGGTCAATCTGCCGAATTCTGGCTACGCGACTAATCTATCTGCAAA